TTTTTCTTGAATCATAATTCTTCTGTTGTTCACTTTAGACCTTATAGTTTTTAAGATTTTCATCTAGGAAGTTAATAAGGAGAAGAGGCAACTTTTAGGGAGTATTAGGGAGAAACCTACCTAATATAGAGAAATTGAGAAAGACCATCATGAACATCTGGCAACAATCTTACCGTTATCAATGCAAGAGATACTTTATTTGAACTGGAAGAGATTATCTTGGCCAGAAGACCTGATTGTTTATGCCACATTATTATCGAGAAGGGTGCACCAGTGAACCAAGCTAAGGTGCAAGCAATGATGTCTTCGCCTGCACCTTAAACTTTCGGGGGAAGTTTGAGGATATTTGGGATTGACTAGTAATTACTGAACTTAAAGGGGTATAATAAAATGGCCAGGTCACAAATGGAGCAAGAGAAGCTTTCACGGGGAGGAAGTATGCTGAGATGTTTTTTGAGTTTTTCTTAAAGTCTTTGCCTCCACTTGGTGTATTCGTTGTAAAGATTTTTGTAATTATGGTTTCTTTCAATTTTTATTTTTTATTTTTTCTCTCTGATTGGGAGTCCTTGTAATCCCTTTTGCATGGTGGAGATCTCTTTGGAGTCTTCGCCTCCTCTTTATTTTCACAATAGTATGATATTGTCAATTTTTGGCTAACCCACGTGGTTTTCTTTTGGTTTCATCTAAAAAGTCTTTGTAACTACCAATGATGACGTTCTTTTTATATACGATCCACCCCAATTGTAGCTGATGTGGGACTATGTGTCCTTATCATGTATCAAACAATGGTACTTGAAAAGTTATCTGGTTCTTGGCATTCAAGGAACAAACTATTTTGCTATCAATAGCTTCAAGAAGAGAAGTTTAACTAGCTATATGAAGAAACGATCCCTTTAAATAGTGAAGAATTAATCATCCTTTTCAAGTGCACATTTGTGATGTAGCCCAACATCTAACTTTCTTGTAATTGTCATAAGAAATTTTCATTCAAATCTAAAGGTTTTGATTATAAAGGCATAGTTGCCCATTTATAGGTTGGCTTGTTATTTAGGGGCAAAACAATTCATGTAACTTTATTATGAGAAGGTCTGCTGTCACGTGACTCTAACCTCATTGGTGTTTGCTCTTTGGATAGGACTTGAAAGATTTGTATTATGTTATGGCTTGCTTCATTTTCATTTTCCCATACTATTGTGAAGTTCCCTGGGAAATCAGTATCTGTTATGATGAATTCTAAAAGATACAACGTTGGGATATTTTTTCTTTGGTTCCGGGTGGCAGGCATATGGTTGGGAATGGCTGGTGGAAAATGGGGTTTGGTTATAATAGAATTTTAAATGTTCCTCTCTCTCTCCCTCCCTCCCTTTCCTTCTTTTGTCCTTTTCCAAAGTTGTAAGTGGGGATCAGTGTAGGCTTTTTTGTTGTTGTAGTAAGTTCTACTAGTTTATTTTCTTAATGTAAGTTATTTTCGTATTGTGTTTATACTTATAGTATTTTTTATTCCCCTTCTTTGACTGTAGGTCTTTGATTGCTGGTTTGAGAGTGGGTCTATGCCATATGCTTATATTCATTATCCATTTGAAAACAATGAGCTTTTTGAAAAGAACTTTCCTGGGCACTTTGTGGCAGAAGGGCTAGACCAAACTCGTGGATGGTAACTTTCTTGACTTTTGTCTTTATATCATATTTCCAAAATATGAATGTGTCAATTTGTAAATCATTAGTTGTATTGTATTTAGTGGTGAAATTTTCAAATATATGCATAAGGGTGATATGTTGTTATATTTCTATCTTAAATTGATTTGTAACTTTATCTTTTGAAAAAGCCTCTTCGTATACCTTTTCCTTTCTGCTTCTGCACCCTGTTCAAATCATAAATTACATGTGTTCTTTGTTTGTTGGTATCAGTTCGATCTTTGGTCACATCGGTTGCATGAGAATCATTTCTTTATGATTCGGAATCCCCTTTTAAAAACATTTAATTGAGTGGAAATGCTTGTAGAATGTAGTTTTGCGAGATTTTGCATACCTCAGGGGTTCAAATTTTCTAATATTTGCTCTTTACTTTTGCAGGTTCTATACTCTCATGGTTCTATCTACTGCTTTATTTGGGAAACCAGCATTTAGGAACCTTATTTGTAATGGCCTTGTCCTTGCGGAGGATGGAAAGAAGATGAGTAAAAGGTTGAAAAATTATCCTTCACCAATGGAAATCATAAATGACTATGGAGCTGTAAGTTCTCTATTATATCTGTGTTAGCAACGCAAAATTCTAACTAGTATTTCCCAGACTTTGCTTTTTGTTAACCTGAAGACATTAGGCATCTAGAGTGCACTGTTATTATTTTACAGAGGTTGGTATCTGCTTTTGTCATGCAGGATGCTCTGAGATTGTATCTTATAAATTCTCCAGTTGTACGTGCAGAGACTTTACGATTCAAGAAGCAGGGTGTTTTCGGTGTTGTGAGTCTTTACTGTTATTTTACGTCTTACGAAGTTTCCCGGTGCATCACTCTGGCATCCATGTTTTCATCAACTTTGATGTCTTCATGGAATGCTTTACTGTGACAAGTTTTCTCCTTTTTTTGTTTTTATTTTTAACTTCTGCTTTATTATTATGGGGTTTTCACAGGTCAGGGATGTTTTCCTGCCATGGTACAATGCGTATAGATTCCTTGTTCAGAATGCCAAGAGACTTGAGATTGAGGGGTTTGCACCATTTGTTCCCGTGGATCAAGCCACCCTTCAAAAGTCGTTCAATGTGCTTGACCAATGGATAAACTCTGCGACCCAGAGTTTAGTATATTTTGTCCGGAAAGAAATGGATGGCTACAGACTTTACACGGTAAGACATCTTCCATTGATATTCTTTCCTACCAAATTTTCTACTTTTATGATTGATATAATTTTTAGATTACAAATTGAGGCCTATGCCTCATACAACTGCAAAACGTTATCTAAAAACTCTGCAAACAATGGGGTAGATTTTGTTCTTTTTATTTGAGTTTTAATTTTGGACTTTGTTTTTATTTAATACTTTTCGTCATTAATTTAGCTCTTGATACTACAGGTAGTTCCATATCTTTTAAAGTTTCTTGACAACCTTACAAATATTTATGTGAGGTTCAACCGCAAGAGACTGAAAGGCCGTACTGGGGAAGAAGACTGCCGGATAGCACTTTCTACTCTTTACCATGTATGGTATTTCTTTTTCCCATATTTAGATATTTATGATTATTATAACTATCTACTTCCGGGTAGTGTACAAATCTGCATGTGTGGTTTATTATTTGCTGTTCTGTTTTTGTATTGCTATTGCTGTTGAAATCTGTACATGACCTGTTAGTTTTAGAAACAAACTTGCCATTTTCATAACTGCTTTTGTGCTCCATGTTAGATAAGATGTAGGACCAATGACTCGTCTTATTAAAGAATTAGGACTAAAGCTGCTCACTTTTTGAGGAATCCAATTGATAAAAATGAATTTTTGTCACCTAATGGTTGTTTTTCAGTAGACAAATAAGTCAAGAGACGAGAAATATTAATGATGCAATTGTACTGTGATCTTTATGTTGTGGCCTTTCATTTGCTGATACAGTTTGGGCACTGTTAACTTACAATAAATTATGTTTTTCATTTCTTTTAACATAGACATATATGGTTAGAAGATGTTTGGTTGACGTGTTTGGCTTCTTTATTGTTGTACAAATTCAATTGCTTTATTGTGTTCGTTTACATTTACTGGAATGCTTCTTTAGATTTTATGGGGAGAAGTGTCGTTAACTTTCAAACTAAAATATCTTGTTTAATGCACATTAATGTTGACACATGCATTATTTGAATGAAATGGTATATTTCATTGTTTTTTTACTAACTGTTAATCTGTTATTTCCTTTTTCATTCTAGTTTCTATTTTCATTCTGAACGCGTAATATATTGTGCCTTCAGGTCCTTTTAACATCTTGTAAGGTCATGGCTCCATTTACACCGTTTTTCACTGAAGTTTTGTATCAAAACTTGCGGAAAGTTTCTGATGGGTTGGAGGAAAGTATTCATTATTGCTCTTATCCTCAAGAAGGAGGAAAGGTATTGATTGTTAGTAAATTTGTATGCAACATTAATTAGTAATTTCATTTTTGGAAATTGTTTCCTGGGTGCCAAGGTGTAAAACTGCCTCTTCAAGTTTATGTCTAGTATATAGAGAGAGGGTAAAGAATTGATAGCTTTTTGTTAATGTTTCGATCATCATGAATCGTTTACGGTCCTTTATGGAATGGAAATAGTTTTCAACCAGCAATTGACACGCCTCGGTTAGAACCTCACTAGCTGCGTCATTGCCCCAAGCGCAAAGATGGTCCTTTATGGAATGGATGGAAGAATAATTCAATGAACTTTCTGCCTGACGGACATGTTTTTGAGAAGTATTTTTAGGAAGAAATAGAATAGCGTTCTGAGACAAATTTTCACATTTTGAGTTTCTTTGAATATTTTTTTCCTTCTATTTGGCATTAATGATTGAACATCCAGTTATTGGGTGTCCACTGTCCCCTTATTTGTATATCTCATTGATAGAATGAATTACTTGTTTCCTACCCAAGACTTCCAAGACTTTGAGTGCAATGCCATTTTGTTTGTTTGTTGTTTTTTTTTTCTTTTTTCCAAATTGCCAACCTCTCTTCTTGGTTCAAGGAAGCTTGTAGTCCACCTGACCAAGTCTTAGACTCTCTCGTTCTCTGTACCAGCATAGATTAATATTCTAATTTTCCTCTCAATCAAATGAGGTATCATAATTGGGGATGGAGATAGTTCCTAGGAATCTTAGGCACCACTGCTTGAGCAAGAGCAGGGCAACCAGATAAGGTTGAGGTCTTCCACTTTTCTGGCTTATTTTGAAATTTCTGAATGACCAGATTCCAAAATTCATTTCAGAGGTTGACCACCCAAAAGCATACTTAAATAGGAGAGAGGCTAATAACCACAACCAGTGGAATTTATCCACCTGCTGTCTCACAAGGTCTTCTTCAATGATAATAGCTGCCGGCACCATTTACATAGAAGAGTATAAAAAACGTGTCCAGTAAAATGATAAGATCGTATGCTCATTCACTTTCAGCCTATTTCTTCATTTCAAGAGTCCCATCTCCAGACCTCCACTTAGAGCACTGTGAGAGGAAGGGGGGACTGTATTTAGTTTTTGATATCAGAGAATTGAGAAGCATTTAAGTAACCCGTCATATTTCAAGGGGTTTTTTTTTCATACACCTTTTGTTTTCATTCTCTTGTTCATATTTTTGCTTTAATTTTGAATGGAAATGTCATGAGATGACACTACGAAACCTGTTAAAAAATTGATTCACTCATACTTAAAAAAATCATAAACAAAAAGAGGTCTATTGAGATTTTTTATAATTATTATTTTTAAATATAAAAATAACAATGGCAACAAGAAGCCCGCCACCTACTTGAGCTGAATTTAAATCCTCATGAAGGCATATTTTTCAAACTGCATCCAATTTGATTTCTTACATCTGTTTTTAACTTTATGATATTTTTTTTTATTGAATGCTAACTTAAGAGAGGTGAAAGAATCGAAGAAAGTGTTACAAGGATGATGACAATTATTGATCTTGCTCGCAACATTCGGGAGCGTCATAACAAACCACTTAAAGCACCTCTGAGGTTTGCTTTTAGTTACCCAAATTTATATTATCTGTGTATATATTTATTTCTGCCTCTTGTTGATATTCTTTTGTTTTTCTTCTTTGCCATATCCTGTTCTCCAATCTCATCAGAGAAATGATAGTGGTTCATCCCGATAAAGATTTTCTAGATGACATAGCAGGAAAGCTAAGGGAGGTATTTGTATCTTGAAATTCATATTTACTTGATGAGGCATGTCTTAGGGTAAAGTCAAATATATTTTTCCTTTTCCAACCTTTTTCT